TCCACCTGATCCACGGAGGATGTACACAATTATGTCCTCAGAGGAAGCAGCCAACGGAAAGAAATCACACTGGGCAGAGTTGGAAATAAGTGGTAAGAAACTGGGTCCTGAGTTACAGGTCATTGCAAGTTAAGAGTAGCCTACATAGTAAAGGCTTGAACTACAAGTCTCGAGTGGAGTTACTTAGCTTGAAGTGAGCCAACACACCAACATAGCAGCTGCCAGCTTCTTGATGTGTTGAGGGAAGAGGTTGGGTTGGGGTGATGTAGGGAGCTATAGGAGAGGTAAGTTGTGGGCGGGGGAAATCCTAACATGTCAGACAATTGGGAAGATGAGAATATGGATGTGAACTCTTTGTGTTTTAAGATGGAGTGGGTGAGAGCGTGGATTTAAGATCTGATTTGTCAAAGAGAGTGGATTTGGGGTTGATACATAGGTGTATCCTGTTAGTACAGGTAATGTAACAACAATGTTGTATTAGTCCATGACAGTGTAGTTTCTATTCAAGCAGAACTTTTCAGTTAAAATGCAGTTGTCTTTGTTCTATTCTTAAGATTTAAATTAAAAAATCAAAACCTCCAAGAACTATGCTAGCTTTGAGATAATGTTTGACTCTTGGATCTTCTCTTGAAAATAAGAAAATGCTCAGAATTCATAAATGTGAATTCCAACTGGTGTGGGACACTGGTCTCTTGATCTGTAGAGCAAATCCTGATTTTGCTGTGTAAAGTGTGTTTACAAGGAGACACACTTTTAAATTTAAGAATTTAAAAATCATTTTGTGATGTAAATTTAGGCTTAAATTTTGCTTAAATATGGAAGTTATTGAAGAGTCTGCAATAATTGCCATGTGGTATTTCTGAGTGACTTTGCAATAGAGAAATGTATGGAAGGAGGAATACAAATAGAGTTCTTTGAATTGCGAAGAGTCTTTCCATCCAGATCTTTGTCTTGCTTCAAGTGCCACGTGCCTTAACATGTGAATAGCATTCTTTACTTGAAGGTTACAGATGCAGAAACCTAGTTAAATGCTGCTTCAGGAATCAGCATTATATATCAGCATTAGGCTTGGATATCCACTTGGACATCTGCTGCCTCTGCACAGGAAATGCATTAAGCAATGGCTCTTTCCTTTCATGCCTGGTAATCTCGCTATAGACTGATTCCAGCCAAGAGAGATGTAGGAAGTCCAGGGGATGGATCAGTGATGTTGATTGGAAATCCTTTCAGCTACAAGGGTTTCTTTGATCACAGTCTCCTTTTTGCACTGGGGGAGGGAGGAAGAGTTGTTTATTCCATTTTTACAATGCAAAGAGCTATTTGTATTTGAAACCTTTCAGAAGATTTCTTAATGAGCATTACAGTAGCATGAATCCTTTAAGAACTGTATGCATTTGCCTTGCAAAATAAGATGTGACAGTGTTTTTGTTTTATTTATGTTCACACTGACTTTTCCATGCAAAATACTTGGTGGTCTAATACAGAAAACCACAAATGTTTTAACTGTTTAAATCTTGTTTAAATCACAGCTTTTTCTCTGCAGGCTCTTTTACGCCACTCACTTTCTTATAGCTCACTGGAAATACCTGCATTAAACCTTTTGTTACTAGGGGTTGAGTCCCACATACACTTGTATTAGTGTAGCTTTTCCTCAGGCACTGAATATGACTTCTTTTAGTTTGAAGAAAATCATTTAAGGAACAGAATTATAAAGTGTGTATGTTGGTGTAATAATAATCAGATTGTTCTTAATATTAGTGAGTCATGGCAGGGTTTTAAAGGCTGTCGCAAGTAGCTCTTTGCCTTGGCCAGGCTCGTGTTGGTACTGTTCTTCTAATGCTTTTGGTACAATGAGATGACTTCTGTAAATGAAAAAGGATCCACTCATTTGGGGGGGGGGTGTGAATCTTGGAGAGAAGAAATGTTTTGTGACCTTCTGATGATACCTCACACTCCTTGCATGCAGCAGCATAAAAATCTTGATTCTGTCACACAAATCCATGTTTCCACCCTTCAGTTTATACAAAAATCATACCGTTTTTTAAAATATCTGGCAATAGTTTTATGCAGCTTTCCGTTGAATGCCAGATGGATATCCATGTTCTCAACTAAGCATCTTAGTCACCCTAAATATAGTGCTTCTATCTGTTCTTGGCTGGATTAATGCCATAGAATAAAGATTTTTGGTTTGGAAGATGTGCAGAAATAAGGGGCAAACCAAAGCAGCATCTTTGATCTTAAACATAAACTAGAATTGAAAAAAACAGTCCTGTTTCTTACACCTCTGTTAATTACTGAGTTCATGGACATTAGTGAATATGTCTTGTGTTGTATGGAACTTGAGAAAGACAGATGTTTAAACCTTTACGTATGGACTGGAGGAAAAAACCCAATTTTCTCTCAGCATCGCTGTCAATACCTTGTATTTTCTTATGCAGTGCTGATTTTTTTTTTCATCTGTGTAATTGGTTATTAATGGCATTTTCATTGAATAAAATAATAGTAAAATCCACAAAACAATTCCCCCTCAAGACGTACCCCCACCCCCCCACCAGCCCGCCACAACAT